ATTTACAGTGAAATAGCTGAACTAATCATATTATAACACAAAATCGGATAGATCTGGACAAAAAGCACTTGTAATTGTTTGTATTACATGCCAGCATGCTTATATTATTAGAAAGGGAAGTGCCACATTGAACAAATCTACATAATTTTGAAATAGTCTTGTTTACAATATTCAATTCAGTCATTTAATATCATATACATATCTAGTATGTAATTTCAAATGTAAATGTCATCTAGTCTGCAGTATAATTCTCACATTAAATCAGTTAAATATATATTTCCATTGTGCATATATTTTAAAATTGTAGCTTCCTTTTTGTTTCATAGGAAAACAAAAATAAAACATGGCATCTGAAAAGGAAATGTCTGAGTGCCATAGGCGTACGAGCAGGGGGGGCAGCTGCCCCCCTAACTTTCGGGCAAGCTGACTTTTCGGGCAGAAGGGTAAAGTGAAAACAAATTTTTTATTTCATCTAATTGGCAAAATAAAGTGCCCGAAATCTAATAAAACACTAATTTTACGGGATGGAATAGCAGTAAAACGAGGTTTAAGGCCATCAAATATTCCAAAATTTTCTTTGGGGGTCCATACAAGGTCAGTTCTGCTTCTTCACCTGCGGCTATTAAATTTTCTCCAAATGGTCCCGTCTCCGTGGACTGTAAACGATTGATCTTTTGATTGGAATTCGAGTCAGCCATCTTAATTAGGCTATATTAGACCACTTTGAAGTTGCTTTGTTCACGGGCTGAAATAGCAGGAATTTATGTTTGCAGCCGTCAAATATTCAAAAAATTTCTGGGGGGGGGGGGCGAGGGGTACAATAAAAGGGGAGCCCTGCTTCTTCGCCTCTCGAGGAAGATCGGCGCCGCTGTCTGTACACCTGAAATTTTTTCGGGCATTTCGGGTTCTGCCCCCCCTAACTGTTATCGGGCCCGTACGCCTATGCTGAGTGCTTTATGCCAACATTCAGCATTTGTTTCTGCATTTTCTCATCAGACAGTAAGGGTAGTGCAGCAGGCTAAGTTAAACCCTTAGATGACTACCTTAATTCTTCAAAACTATTGTTCCATTTATCCTGATAGGGATAACATTATGTTATATAGGCGGGGGGAACTGTGGCTGGGTTAATAGATTTTCAATTGTGCAGGATGCACGGTTTGCAAGCCTGGAAATAAGGCACCTGTCACTGACAATGTCAGGCACAGATTCAGGCTTTGTCAGGCACTAAACCTCTGGTGCCTGTCATTTTGTCCAGCACTGATTTGTCTTTTTTATTGATATTATTAATACATGTCCGGCACTAAGTTGAAAATGTCAGGTACTATTTCATTAGTGCCTGACATTTTGTCATGTACATGTAAAACCGTTATTTCCAGGCCTGACGGTTTGGTCATGCTTATGGTACAGACAACTGAGTTCAAGTGTATGCCTCATAATACATTACTCTGCATATTACCATTTGATGCAGAAATGCCACTTGAATATATGACACCTTTATTTTATAAATCATGTGTATAAAAAAAATATTGGTATGTTTTCACACTTTATTGGATTCATAGAGATCAAATCAATTATTTTTTTTTAGTATTAAAGAAAAGCTCTTAACAATTTTCTTCATATTCTCCCAATGTCAATTAATTCTTCATCTGTGTAAACTGCTAAAATACATTGAGACAACAATTTAAGGCTGTATTCCATAAAATCAATAAAATTAATAGACATGTTTTATTTGGAAGGAGAAAAAGATAATTGATAAATAAAAAAGCAATCAATTCTGCTGAATTCGACAAATGCCACAATTCTAATGAATAGCTACAAGTGTTTAGTGTCTCACTATAGCTTGTCTTATGTTTTTTTGTGATCTTGTATTAGGCTTTTTCTAAGTTTCATAATAACTCAAACTAACAAGATGATTATAAATGAAATAGTCCATGACTGATTCAGCAGCAAGGTTAAAGTGATAAGAGATAATAAAATTGCAATTAAAATCATTTTATGAAATATTTTCTTTTCTGACTATTACAAAGTGTTTAAATAAATAATTTTCATATTTTTTTTATAGAAATCGTTAAAGAAACAAGTGACCTTTGATTAGATGTTCAATATGTTTTACTGTATGTTAGTGATGTTCAAAAATACTAGCTCCACTATGCTTCTAAAATATTTTTGTCCCTCACCTTTCGAAGAAAGCAAGGGACTATTAAAATGTTTTTTTAAACACCCACATTTTCTTGTGGACCTATTATGCCGTCCCCCCTGTTCGTCCGTCTGCCCGGACATCCGTCCACAATTTGTTTGTGGACACTCTACAGGTCACAATTTTTATCCGATTTTAATGAAACTTGAAATATAGGTATATCTCCCAAAAATCTTGGTTGCTTTCGATATTGGCATGTATTGGACCATAACTTCATGGATTATGGCCCATGAGTGTACGCAAAATCATTTTTAGCTTGTAGACACTCTACAGGTCACAATTTTTATCCGATTTTAGTGAAACTTGAAATATAGGTATATCTCCCAAAAAACTTGGTTGCTTTCGATATTGGCATGTATTGGACCATAACTTCATGGATTATGGCCCATGAGTGTACGCAAAACCTCATTTTTAGCTTGTAGACACTCTAGAGGTCACAATTTTGATCCACTGTTGATGACGTTTTTAGGTTGTGGACACTCTAGAGGATACAATTTTCATCTGATTTTAATGAAACTTAAAATGCATTTTTATAACTCTACAGGTCACAATTTTTATCCGATTTTAATGAAACTTGAAATATAGGTATATCTCCCAAAAATCTTGGTTGCTTTCGATATTGGCATGTATTGGACCATAACTTCATGGATTATGGCCCATGAGTGTACGCAAAACCTCATTTTTAGCTTGTAGACACTCTAGAGGTCACAATTTTAATCCGCTGTTGATGACGTTTGTAGGTTGTGGACACTCTAGAGGATACAATTTTCATCTGATTTTAATGAAACTTAAAATGCATTTTTATAACCCAAAGATCTTGGTTCCTTTCGATATTTGCGTATATCAGATCGTAACTTCCTGAATTATGGCCCCTGATTGTACGAATAATCATGTTTGTAGCTTGTGGTCCCTTAAGAGGTCACAATTATTATTCAATTTAAAAAAAACCTTTGAATTTTGTGAAAACTGGACCCAAACTGCCAGGCAAAATGGACGCCCCTCATATGCAAATAGTGTAAAAATATGGTATATCAAGGTTGAGAACAATTTTGATCTGATTTGGATGAAACTGGAAATACATATTCATAACCCAAAGATCTTGGTTCTTTTTTATATTTGTGCTTATTGGATTGTAACCTCCTGAATTATTGCCCTTTATTTTAAAAAATCGCGTTTTTAGCTTGTGGACCCTCTAAAGGTCACAATTCTTATCCGATTTCGACGAAACTTGAAATATAGGTTTATCCCTAAAAGATCTCGGCTGCTTTCGATATTGGCATGTATCGGATCGAAACTTCATGGATTATGGCTCCTGTTTGTACGAAAAATCACGTTTTTAGCTTGTGGACCCTATAGAGGTCACAATTTTTATCCGATTTTGTTGAAACTTGAAATGTAAGTTTATAACCCAAAGATCTCAGTTCCTTTTGATATTTGCGCATATCAGACAGTAACTTCCTGAATTATAGCCCCTGATTGTACGAAAAATCACGTTTTTAGCTTGTGGACCCTTTAGAGGTCATAATTTTTATCCGATTTAAAAAAACGTATTATTATATCACCGTTACACCCTAAGGACGACTGAGTTTGAAATTCATGAAAATCGGCCCAAAATTGACAGACAAAATGGCCGCCATTCGTTCCCAAATAGCGTAAGAATATGGTATATCAAGGTTGTGGACCCTATAGAGATCACAATTTTTATCCGATTTTGTTGAAACTTGAAATGTAAGTCTATAACCCAAAGATCTCGGTTCCTTTCGATATTCGCGCATATCGGACAATAACTTCCTGAATTATGGCCCCTGATTGTACGAAAAATCATGTTTTTAGCTTGTGGACCCATTAGAGGTCATAATTTTTATCCGATTTAAAAAAACGTATTATTATATTACCGTTCCACCCTAAGGACAGTTGAGTTTGAATTTTGTGAAAATCGCCCCAAAATTGACAGACAAAATGGCCGCCGTTCGTTCTCAAATAGCGTAAAAATATGGTATATCAAGGTTGTGGACCCTATAGAGGTCACAATTTTTATCCGATTTTGTTGAAACTTGAAATGTAAGTTTATAACACAAAGATCTCAGTTCCTTTCGATATATGCGCATATCGAATTGTAATTTCCTGAATTATGGCCCTTGATTGTAGGAAAAATCACTTTCTTGTTAGCTTGTTCTCTATCCATCTCTCGAAAATGTGGGCGTATCCTGCCTGGCAGCCGCTGGTTCTCTTAAAGACTAGCAAATCGAAATAAACAGTAATTGTATTCCATAGAATTGTGTCCTAGATGTCTATATTTTATTTGTAAATGTACATTTACATGTACCACCACACTATATTGATTTTCTATCTCCAGATGTCATAAACATTTTTCAAAATATAGCTTCAAGGACTATTTTAGATTATATAATAGACGTATAATATCTTTTTGCTTACAAGAAATGTGTCTGGAATATATATAGCTCTGTTATATTTTATTTATCAAAGGTGTCTAAATGCTGTCTTCGTGACTGGTAACTCTTTAAATAAGGTATTTTACCCTTGTGCCATTCCATGAAGTTTTGGTCAAAGAGATCTGTATAGTGGTTTTATAGTTATGTTTTTAAATCCTTTGATTGTTTTGGTAGAGTTACGAACACATTATCTGCAAATAACTGTTATTACGGATTGAGGGATTTTATAAAATGTTATGTTTACATGTATTGATTTATTAGACGTATGTATGCCAAAAAATTTTGAAATATTGTTCTCTAGTAAGTTTGATTATAATATAGATTTGTTGAAAGCACTGGTTTGTTTGAAGTGCTGTGTCTGAAAAATTTGTTTTAAAGAATGTCTTTTTATGACAATATTGAGTGTAAGGGAGACACTAAAAAATCGAAAGTCATTTGTCTTTGTTCTTCTGGCAAGTATTGGAATTTTAGGAAGTGTGATCTTTTCATTTACGACATAGTTGAAATTTATTTTATACGATTTGATGAATCTTGACAGATTTGTTGGATATTGATACCCTAGGATTGGTTTTGTCTAAATAGAATGGCCTAGTAATGTTTCATGTTTTTGATGAGTTTTTGGATCTATGTAGAATTGTGAATTAAGTGTTATTGAGCCACGTCTCTATATTGGAATTGTCTGAAAGTGGTAGAAAAACTGTTGAAAAAAATTGATTTCTACAAGCTTTTAATTCCTAAGTCCTTGGGAAAAGTGCTATAATTGATTTTATACAAAATTTTCATGTTAGATGTGGAACTCCTGGAGAAGCTCACACACGGTTAATTGTGTTATGTGCTTTATATGTGAAGCGTTCAGTCATCTATTTGACTCGAGGGAATAATGTCACTGATATCAGGACTCTTTTTGTCACCATACTGGAAAACTACAAATTCATCTCCTATGTGTCTCTCGTGAACATACTGCTATAGATTACCAAACGTGAAGTTGACATGAACAGACATCTTATCTAGAAACCCTGTTACATATAGTAACAGAAATGTTCCTATAAAACTACTACTTTTAAAATTGTTAATATGTGAAGACAGTTGTTTTTTTCCATGGAACTAATCACTAGGAATCAAACATTACTTATTCTAAATGATTTGGAAAGTTGCTGAAAAATTATGGTCTGCAACCAGGAATATGCGGCATACACCGGAAATGTGCTCATCTTTCGAGGATTCTGAACTTATTTCTTTGCATGATCTGCATGTGTGTGAAAGTGGGTGTCCATTGATAGAAGATGATCATCCACTTTTTCTAGAACATCACCCATTGTTACAAGAGGATCACGATGAGAACTGTTGCAGACGGCAACCAAGCAGAACGTTTTCACATAGATCACGAGGTAAGGGGTTATTTCTTACCAATAATATCCATACTGTTGTGGTAGGTAAAATGGAAATGCGTATTCATTTAATTATTTTTAAAGAATAATATGTGCCACCTCATTGTTCACACCAGTATACAGTATTCATGTTTTTGGAATAAGAATGATCTGTGACTCGATGAATAAAGTTACTGCAATCATTAATGTTTTCCCTTCATTGTGACTTCATAATCAATTCGTTAAACCCCATTTCATTTCATTTTATAATCAGTTATTCATTTAAATTTCTATGAAATCATATTTTGACATTTAGCCTTTAGAATTTGAAATCCCTGCCACTATAGTGTTATCGATCCTAATTGAAATAATTAAAAGCAAACAAAAAGGACCACAAAATGATAGGGCAACAGTCTCCTAATTTCTTCCAAAAGTACAAAGATAATCTAAAAAATATCATCTTCAAGTGTTAATATTGAGAAGCTAACCAAATCAATAATTTTGCATCAAAACATTGATTGAAGAAACAACACTGGTAAGGAAAAAAATTGTGGGTGTTATTTTGGCACTTTTGATAATTTACCATGCTTCTGGTGGAGGAACTTTTTTTGTAGACCGTAGCGCCGCTGCCCGGGCAAAATTTCCCTCATAGCACACTGTATGGCGTATGCCTGTCTTCATCAGCCCAGGTTAGGAGCAAAACAGTAGGACGTTAAACCCCATTTCATTTTATTTGGTGGAGAAATTACAAACATGTGATTTTTACAATTGGCCAAAGAGCTTTTTTTGACATATTTTTTTTTGATACATGTAGGTCTAGACTGAACTAAGTAATACAAATTTTAGCCAGATGGAATCCATCTTGTGACCCTGGGAGCCATGGTAGCTGAGTTAGTAAGATGTTGGCTCACTAACCTAGAGGTCCCGTGTCGATCCCTGCATTGGTGGTGTAGGACAGAGGGCCTGGCAAGGGACAATGTACAGTTATTTGGATGGGGCAAAAAACTAAGGTCCTGCGTACACATATGAGTACATGTAAAAGATCCCTTGGCAGTTGGAATTTGATATAGTAGTAGGCCATAGCCGCCATTGTCCAGGCAAAATTTCCCTCACACTGTATGGCATATGTCCGTCTTTATTAGCCCAGTCGGAGCAGACCAGTAGGGTGTTAAGCCCCATTTCTTTTCATTTCCTGTGTCCATTTAATAATGTAAATATTAATAGTTTCGTAAAAAAATAATCTATCTGTAAAACAAAAAAAACCCAGTTTCCCATCAATTATCAAGACACCCAATCTAGCAAGTTTGAAACATCCGTGAACAGAATCTATACTGCATGTATATGTAGGTATAGGTATGATTACAGTTAATATAAAAAAAGATATACGAAAGAAAACTCACTAAAACATTGTCCTCTCACCTCTGAGACCCCTGTCTGGAAGTGATTTATTCAAATAAAATTGCACAATGAGATTTGTCACAAAGTTACCTGGATAGCGGTTGGACATTAAACCCAATTTCTCAATTCCAAAACGTCATTCAGTGGATAACGACCATCAAGACAGGTCAAATCTTTTCTATTGCTTCTTTTTTGTATTCAGAGCTTTTTTATACGCCCACATTGAAATGTGGCCTCTGGACGCTCTAGAGGCCAAAGTTAATATCCAATTGACTTTAAATTTATACACAGTGTTTAAGGTCATGTGACGAAGAAGCCTATTGATTTTCAGCGATTTCTGATAATTACTGCCAGAGTTATGGCCCTTGATGACTTCAAAAAATCTTGTGGACGCTCTAGAGGCCAAAGTTAATATCCAATTGACTTTAAATTTATACACAGTGTTTAAGGTCATGTGACGAAGAAGCCTATTGATTTTCAGCGATTTCTGATAATTACTGCCAGAGTTATGGCCCTTGATGACTTCAAAAAATCTTGTGGACGCTCTAGAGGCCAAAGTTAATATCCGATTGACTTGAAATTTATACACAGTGTTTAAGGTCATGAGACGAAGAAGCCTATTGATTGTCAGCGATTTCCGATAATTACTGCCAGAGTTATGGCCCTTGATCACTTCAAAAAAATCTTGTAGACGCTCTAGAGGCCAAAGTTAATATCCGATTGACTTTAAATTTATACACAGTGTTTAAGGTCATGAGACGAAGAAGCCTACTGATTTTCAGCAATTTACGATAATCACTGCCCGGGTTATGGCCCTTGATCACTTTGAAAAATCTTGTGGACGCTCTAGAGTCGAAAGTTAATATCCGATTGACTTTAAATTTTATACACAGTGTTTAAGGTCATGAGACGAAGAAGTCTATTCATTTTCAGTGATTTTCAATAATTACTGCCAGAGTTATGGCCCTTGATCACTTCAAAAAACCTTGTGGATGCTCTAAAGGCTAAAGTTAATATCTGATTGACTTTAAATTTATACACAGTGTTTGAGGTCACGAGGCGAAGAATCCTATTGATTTTCAAAGATTTCTGATATTTACTGCCAAAGTTATGGCCCTTGATCACTTTGAAAAATCTTGTGGACACTCTAGAGGCCAAAGTTAATATCCGATTGACTTCAGATTGATACACAGAGTTTAAGATCTTTAGACGAATAAGCATATTGAATTTCAATGAATTTTTATGACTTGGAACAGCTAAATCCATGATACAGTATTAAAAGTTTTGTATACAAAACGTTAGCATGGGGTAGAACTTTATAAAAACCAAACAAATTCTAATGGTTTTCTGAGTTGTTGCTCTTAATCAGATTTTAGTGTATTATAAATGTTTCATTACCGAAAAAAGTAAAAATATGCGACAACTCTTGTTGACTGCCCGGACGATTTAGCTGCTGTGGGCGTATGTTTCGTTGCCTGGCAACCTATCTTTCTGTTTTATAGAAATAAGGACTTATGCCCTTACTTTGTATTTATTACAATTACTCTTTTCTCACACTTGCTCTATTCTTGATCCCTTTCGATTACTATCTAAAGCCATTTATTTTTTAGGTGTTTGTATTTTTACCTCATATCTAAAAAATGATTAGTGATAAACATTGGGCGTCACCAATTGATTGCAAACATATATTTGGCTGTTGAATAACACTGACATATGTTGGCTGAAAGCCACAATAGGATGGGTCCTGACTAATCACCGGAATTCACCAGAATTCATTTACAATCACCGGAATTCACTTACAATCACCAGAATTCATTGGAATTCACTTCGAAAATCTCTGATTCCTCCCACAAAACTAATTTATTTTAAATGCATATCATACATTATAATATAACAAATAACTATTTTGATCTCTCCACAGGCCAGATGAAGGCGCTGTAGGTGTATTTTTTTGAAAGACTACCGGAATTCATTTCAGATATATGCATTATGAATATGATAATGTAGGGCACGTCGAATTACCCAATAACTTCAAAACAACACCCAGTAACTCCAAAAATGTTGACTGTGGAAACACAAAATAACAATTTAGTTTAGTTTAAGAAGCCTCACTACTTTGTGCCCAAATCAGAGGTTCGTGAGAGATAACTCGTGTATGTGATTTTTATTGACAAGAAACTAATGTATACTTTCGTTGCAATTCATTGTAATGTATTGTAATTAGTGATTGATTAATAGTTTATTAAAACAGTAATTATATGCATGAAACATATTATGTTATATATAGAGCAATAAACGATTCAGTATAATAGTTACCGGTATATTTATTTATTTATAATTGCAAATTGTGTCGATTGTCACTTTCGGTCATCGACATTGTAACTTGTTTTGAAATAAATAAATGAAATCAATTTAGATAAGTACCACTGACAATTAATTGTCTCTGCTCAGAGTATTCTCAGGTTATGATAGTTTATTATGTTGTGATTGTATGTGATTTATCACCTTTTACAATGACAATATTTAAATTTAATATGATCCGTAAATCTGATATTTTGATCATTAAAGGGAGATTACTCAACATGTGGAGAAAATCTTGTAACTCGTCATATTTGAGATGTTTTAAAACAATTATGTGTAGAACTTATTTGTAATTCATCAAAATGCCTCTTTTATCAGCATTTCAGTCCTAATTTTAACTTAATTTATTTGACCAAATCCATTCCATGTAAATATGCTAACTGTATTTCAAAAATCTGTTTATCTGCCCATAACTTATTTATAGAAGTAGGTAGATGCAACAGTGTTGTTAGAAATAACAGATTTTGTAAATTTTGTGATAATGGTGAGGTGAAGATGAGTACCATTTTTGTATTAATACGTAAAAAATATAAAGATATTCCCTGTAAGTATATTAAACAATATTATAGATTAACTAAGATAATAAAAACAAAAATAAGACAATTTGTCTTTGATATAACCTTGGGTGGAAGCGGATGTTAAACACTAAGAACAACAACATTGGTAGCTTGACATACCTTAGACAGTCTCTTTACACCAGATGAATAACATTATGTATCACTTGATATTCCATCAAAATAACGACAAGCCGTGTCGTGTGATTGCGTCATTACTGTCTTGATGTCGTGTTGGGGCGTTATGAAAAGGGCGAGATTTAACATGGCCACCATCAATTGTTGTTGTTTATTACAGATTTCCACAACAATGTGGTAAGTTCCTGTCTATGATTAGAGACAATCAACAAAAGGGCCATGTCAACAAACAGGTTAAACATAAATCTGAACTTCATACTACTTCAAATTAATTATTAAAATAAGCCGAAATTTTGTGACCCCTGTGTTTTTGCGTTTCGTTAGTGATACAAGATAATTCACAATTAACAATCTGGACTGCTTCATGCTACAAAAGATTATCTATGAAAATATCCAAACCATTATTGATGAAACTTTATTTGATTGGCTTATTATTGCCAAGTTAATTTTCGAATAAACTTAGCACATCTACACTGAGAACGTTGGGATGGGCTAGAGTGCCGCGTTTCGATCTCTAGCTGGCTAGTCACCTCTGGCTTGCGGTTGTGGTTTTGATCTATGGTGTGAGCG